TCGGAAACCCAAGGAGGGGTCGCTATGAGTCAGGTCTGACTCGACGGCACATAACAACAACAACAACAACAAGACTGGGGAAATTATTGGGAGGAGGAGGAGGAGTTAATGTCTGAAATGATAGAGTGGCATGGTAGTTTGGACATTTGGGACATCTTTGACCTCCGCCTCATGGGGACTGGCCTCATGCTGATCTTTCTAAGAGAAATTGTTCAAGCAACCACCCAGAGCAGCTAGTGAGCTATCAGCACATCCCACCCCCCCATGCTCTGTACACATGTCAATATTCCCAGTAAATGGTTAGCTAAATGTGTGCATTATATGCACACAAACCACACTTACGTATCTGTTTCTGGCAATGATGGATCAATATGCCTCAACTGCAACACAGAGGAATGCATCAGATCATCAGCCCTGCCCTGGCCATGGAGAGTGACTCGTTGACCACAGGAGATCAACAACTTCAGTTGAAGCTGACCTTGCTGGCTCTGTCTTATGTCTGATTAAAGTGTTGCTTCACTGCCTGTGTATATAAGTCACTTTTCTCATTAGTGACCCTAGACCTTGGCTTGACAGATCAAATAAAGAAGGACAAAAAAAAAAAAAAAGAGTGCCAATCATACAAGAAAGGAGGAGGCAATTACAAATGACTTGATAGCTTTAAAAAAAAAAAGAGTAGGAAGATAGTGAGTGTTATGGATGGAACTGTGTTCCCTGAAAATATATGTTGTAAGTAAACACTTATGCCTATACAAGTGGAGAGTCTATGGATAAAGCAACTGGTTAAGTACTTGATTACTAGTCAAAAGATTGATGGTCCAAATCCTACCAAAAGTGCCACAGAAGAAAGGCCTGCTGATCTGCTTCAGAAAAGTCTCAGCCTTGAAACTTCTATGCTGCACATTTCCACTCTACAAATATGGGGCTGCCATTGTGGGAATCAACTCAACAGCCACCAATACACAGGTGGACATAATCTCACCTGGGATACAGTTTTCTTTGTTCTGTTAATAAGGCTGCATTAGTGTAGGGTGTGTCTTAATCAATCACTTTTGAGATATAAAAAGAGCAGTTTAGGCATAGAAGCAAGGATACTGGGGAAGACTGATGCCACAGGGAAACCACCAAGGGATCTAGGAACAGAAAGTGAAAGGATACAAGGGCCTTCCTCCAGGGTCAAAAGAGACAGAAAGCCTTCCCCTAGAGCCAGCACCCTGAATTCAGACTTCCGGCCTCCTAATCTGTGACAAAATAAGTTTTATTCATTAAAGCATCCACTTGTGATATTTCTGTTATAGCAGCACTGACAAACTAAGACAGTGAGGAAAGATTTGGTGGCCGCTTCAGATTAACTACAAGGAGAGTGAAGTACTATGCAAAAGGATATTTACACATCAGAAAGTTTCCTCCTCCTTAATAACATATGCTTTCTTATATCTCATGTATTTATGACTTTATATGATCTATCTCCTTGTTACCAATATCAGTTTGAGTTAACACACATGTCCATCCTCAACAGAAAACTCAACATGATCTTTAATTCATCTCTTGAACTCCAAACTCACTGCCATCAAGTCAATTCTGACTCATAGTGACTGCCATTGGGTTTCCAAGGCTGTAAATCTTTATGGAAGCAGACTGTCCCAACTTTCTTCCATGGAGGAGCTGGTGGGTTCAAACCACTGACCTTTGGGTTAGCAGCCAAGTGCCTTAACCACTGCACTACCAATTCAAGATCAAAACATGAATTTCAAAGAAAGTGTCAGTTCATGCCACGTTTTCTCATTAGGGTTTATGGCAACACATCAACTTTGATTGCATTACTTAACTATGCTAGACCATGGTTTTATACTAAACTCAATTATTTAAAACAATGATTCATTAACAATAAAATAATACATAACATAGGAATATAAATTTCAACTCTTTTTAAAAAAAGTTTAATATATATTACTAAAAATCCACAGGGGTAACACATTGAAAAGTAACAAATTCTCCTACCATTCAGTAAATAATATAACCAGATCCTCTTGACTGGCATAATGATCCATGACTTCTTTCATTAATCTCACTTTTTGGCCTCCTCCAATACTATTGATTCCATCACCACCTCTCCACTCTTCTCCTTGACCAAGGACCTGGTAAGTGAAAGCAACATTTCATCCCTGAGTAATATTCAAATTATGATGTTGTTGTTGTTATGTGCCGTTGAGTCAAACTCGACTCATAGCGACCCCTCCTTGGGTTTCTGAGGCAGTATCACTACGGAAGTAGGATTGCCCAACCTTCCTTCCGAGTCAAATTATGATAGTACCATAAAAACTTGGAAATCATCAGCAATTTGTATTGTATTGTAAGGTAACCACTCATTTAACATTTCACTAAATCATAATGCTAGAAAGAAAAAAAAAATGATAATGAGATCAGGTCATAATTCTTCAATGCTATCTACCCCATAAGAAATATCATTCCCAATTATATTAGTTCAAAAAGAAGAGTCTAATGCAAGGGGGAGGAGGGAAGAACTCAGAAAATATTTCTCACATGTCATCCGTATTTGTTCAAAATGATATGAAAAAGGGAATGAACAAACTTTCCACAACACTATTTCTATCTTACAGGAAATGTGTATGATGGACACTGAAATTCTCTGAAGTTCAGTGACTCCTGGCTTGAGCTCTTAAGTAATTTTCCCACTGAATCAACAGGGAAACACAGAGGGCATCAAGTAAAACATAACCTTCTTTTCCTTAGTGATGTCAAACTTATATTATACTCAAAAGCTTATTAAGAATTTTTCAATGGAAAAAAATTGCTTAAATACATTTAATTGGAGTTGATCCTATAGCATTTCTCTTCACTATTTGCCTTGACAGCAGTCTCCAGAATTAGAAGGGCACTACTGCCACACTGACTGTGAGAGAGCAGGAAGTATAATACCCACTCCACACATGCATTTTTTATCTTAGTGTCATCCACAAAATGTCTGAAGTTGCCCAAACAATGATCCGCAAGGAAATTTAGTAATTAAAGAAAGATCCAAATGAAAAAGAAATACAAAAGGAAAGAATAAAATCCATTTACAAATAGCATACCATAAGCTCCAAATTTAGTTAATACCTTGGGAAATATAAATCTGGCTGGCAAATCCTGTGGGGCTCCCTGCCTCATATCTCGTCAATGCTTCATCACCAACTACACTGAAAGTTGGAGGATAAATGCCGCCAGTCAAAGTAACTCAAACTGATGTGGGTCACAGTTCACATTGAGGACAACCAAGTAGCATTATTATTTCTGGCCCTAAAAAGCAGCCTCCTTTAGCCCTGAGATTTACTACACTTCCATTCCAAAGGCCTCTGGATTTCTCCAATTCTATGATAACTCCCGGGGCCCACCACATCTGATAGCCTGCTCCATGTCATGCACAATGTTAAGCATTATTCACTATTTTCTTTCCACTACACCAAAAAAAAAAAAAGAAAGAAAGGAAAGAAAAAAACACTGCTATCGAGTCAATTCTGACTCACAGCAATCCCCATTGGGTAATAGACTGCCACCTCTTCCTCCTGTGGAACAGCTGGTGCATTTGAACTACTGACCTTCTGGTTAGCAGCCAAATGTCTTATGCACTATGTCATCAGGGCTCTTTTCCAATATACTTGTTATGTGCTGCCAAGTCAAACCTGACTCATAGCGACCCCCCCTTGGGTTTCTGAGGCAGTATCACTATGGAAGTAGATTGCCCCATCTTTCTTCCGAGGAGTGGCTGATGGGTTAGAACTGCCAGCCTTCTGGTTAGCAGTCAAGTGCCTTAGGCACTATGCTACCAGAACTCCTTTCCACTATACTATGGGCTCCCAAACTTTAGTTTGCATCAGAATGACATGAAGGGCTTGTTAAAACACAGACTGCTGCATATCAAAATTAGAATGTGCAATTCAATAGTGTCTGGAAATTTTTACTTCTGACTATTTCCCAGGTGATGCTGATGCTGGTGGTCTAGGGTTTACACTTTGAGAACCATTGTACTACATAATGTGAAGATAGCAGAACCATCAAGTCCAGAGTTCATCAAGTTGGGTTGGTGTCTAAAATTTGATACTTACAGCTATGGACCATGGGTAAGTTTTTCTAATCCACAAAAGAAAAAAAACATATATATATATCTACCTTATTGGAGCTCTGGTGGCATAGTGGCTGAGGCATTTGACTGCTATCCAGAAGGCTAGTGGTTCAAATCCACCAGCCACTACTTGGAAGGAAGATTGGGTAATCTACTTAAGCAGTTACACTGCCTTGGAAACTCAAGGAGGGGTCGCTATGAGTTGGATCCGACTTGACGACACTGCATTTGGTGTTTGGTTTTTATTATTCATATAATGAATCAACAGCATATCATATGTCAATTTGCTAAGAATGCCTCTCAAAAAAGAAATTCTGTTCACGCTGTGAACCTCAAAGATCCCCTCATTAAACTTCAGAATTATTTTGCCCTGACTTTTTTTTTGTCACTTCAATAGTATCTCCTAGGCAAAAAAAAAAGAAAAGAAGGTGGGGACCAGCTTTGCTGGTCCAATAGAGCCTGGTGGAACCACTGAGACTATGGTCCCTAGCTGCCATTCAGGTCTGGGATTGAACCCACACCTGTGGTTTCCAGCCAAACAAAGAACAGGCAAGCGAGGTAAACATTTACCTCAAGTAGACACACACCCTGGAGAGAACAATCATGGGAGAAGGAAGGGCTGCTTACGCACAGGAACACAGCTCAGGGCGCAGAAGAGTATGGAGGGATGGACACTGGGAAGAGGTAACTATGGGGAGGAAGTGGGAGGGGAGCTGTTGCATTGTAAATTTTGGTCAATGACATGAGACAAAGTATATGTGAACTGCTGTATGAAAAGTGAATTTACTCTGTAAATCTTCACCCAAATCAAAATAAAATTAAAAAAAAAAAAAATAGTACCTCCTATAAGAGCAGACCACTGTACTTCTCATCCATTCTAACATATTTTTCATCCAGTTAAACAGCTTGTCATTAATATTACATCTCTCTTTAGCAAGGTTTAGTCTCTTCAGCAGCTGTTTCATATTAACGTCTCTCCCTAACCTTCCGGTGGTTATATATTAAATCTTACCTATTTTTCTATACTACTTTTTAGATCATCTCAGTTTCTCCCATGTAGAAAGCAATTTTTCTCTCTTTTTTGCCTAAGCCCCCCCCCCCCCCCCTTTCCCTTCTGGGCTGCTTCCTATTCTTTTGTTTATATGGAAGACCCATTTGACAAATCCTTCTTCCTGAAAAAAAATTTTTAAAAAGTATTTTTCCCCTAAACCCCCTGAGGAGTTACATTTGCCTTAATTTTCTACCCTAGAGAGTTTGTCCCTTTTGTCCAGGTTGATAGACATTTCCTGGGTAAACTGTAAACATCTTTGTTTTGATACTTTTTGTCTGGTGCTGGGCTGCAGCCTGACCTGTGATTGGTACACACCTGGCAGCAACTGGTCACTATACAATGTACTTGAGGGGAGTTGTAGCTTCTGATGCAAATAAATTTTGTGGCCTAACGGCAGAGGACTGATCAGTTTGTGGCCCTGGTCGGAATGACATACATTGAAACTGACAAAAAGTTTGTGTATTTAAGCAGCCAGCCCTACAGACATTTTTGAGATATAAAGAAGCAGTAAGAGAAGCAGCAGGAAGAAGCAGAAGGAAAAAAGAAGAGAGAAGCAGCACAGAAAGGAGGCAGGGAACTTCCTAAAAGAGCTCTACAGTCAAGGGCTGTAATACTGAAGACAGTGAAAAGCCCAGAAGGCTCTCAGTAGCAGAGGAACCTGTCCTCAGGAAGTTGACAGAAGGACTGCATAGTCAACAGGAGCTCAGAGAACTGTCCTGCACTGAAGAAGGAAGGCTTTGCCTAAATGCGTCCTGATCCTGATTCTGAATTATGGCCTGTTTATTCTGATCCCAAGTTGTACCCTATTTCTTAATAAACCTCTTTGCTGACTGTGAGTTTTGTGTGGTCATTGCAATGGATTATTGAACACAGAAGAGAAGTAAACAGGCAACTCGTGTCAGAATTGATAAAAAAGGATGGAGAGTGCAGGTATGTCTGACCTTCACCTCATGGGGATAAACCTTGGGCTGATCTGTTGTTGTTGTTATGTTCTATGGAGTTGGGCCCGACTCACAGTGACCCCTCCTTGGGTTTCCCAGGCCATATCACTACAGAAGCAGATTGCCCAACCTTCCTTCCGAGGAGTGGCTGATCAGTTTGAACTGCCAGCCTTTTGGTTAGTAGTCAAGTGCCTGAGGCACTATGCTACCAGAGCTCCTCTAGACTCACATTATACTCCTTGAAGTTAGATAGGTACTCTTATAGCTGCTGTGACGACTACTCAAATTTTATATATGTCAATGATATAGTCCACTGGAGGTAACTATTCCCAAACCCTTCTATACTTGTTAAATGCTCTGAAATTCCTCTAAAACAACAAAAAGAGGAAAAGCAACTTTCAAACAATGGGACACAAAAGGTATTCCCTTCAGTCATGTTTCTAATTCTCTGTACACATATACACTATGGTAGACAAACATGACAGATAAAAATCTTCAAAATAAGTGAGGAAAAAAATACTGTCAAATCTTATGTTACATTGTGCTTGTATGTGACCTATCCCCCCAAAAAAGTGTGCATGTCTATGTAAATACATGCACAAATATACACACACACATACACACACATATAAACATTTTTTTCTATTGTTTTATAGACTATGTTTATACAAAGCTACCTGAATGGCAGGGTAGTAATATGGCCAAAAGGTGTCTTAAAAACAAAAAAATAAACCATAGATAAACTGAAAGTAATTATGTACTGAGACTTCATCTTCCTTCTGTGAATTAGAGGTTTTGTTATTGTTGTTAGAAAAAATACAGTTAAGGGATATATTCTAAGATCACCATAAACTAAAAGACATATCATACCTTCACAGTATAATTGAAGTATTTGGCAGACTGCATAAATCGATGAAATCCATCACTTTCTTTTGTTGCTACAGTTATGACTAGTAACTTATCTGCAAAGACAGAAAAAAAAAATAACATAAAACAGGTTACAAAGAAGTTAAATGCTAGCACTTTACAATTAACTATAGTAATCAGATATCTCATTAAATTGATAGGAATGCTTTCAATTGTTAATCTACATAAGACTAAACAAAGAGCTGCTGAAATAAACAGGTAATTCAAACTGGTTATATTGCAGTCAAATGGTGATTATTCCTAATGGGGGTTTCTGTGTTGTATGCCCTTAAGTTGACTCATATAGTCTCTAGAGGATGAGTAGAACTGCTCCATAGGGTTTCCTAGGCTGTGTGGCATAGTGCCTAAGGTATCTGACTGCTAACCAGAAGGCTGGTGGTTAAATACCACCAGCCACTCCTTGGAAGTCAGAAGGAAGGTTGGGCAATCTATTTCTGTAGTGATACTGCCTTGGAAAGCCAAAGAGGGGTTGCTATGAGTCGAGTCCGACTCTAGGGCACATAACAACAACAACAGCAACTCCTCAGAAGGAAGACTGGTCAATCTACTTCTGCAGAAACACCACCTTGGAAACCCAAGGAGGGGTCATTATGAGTTGGAACCTATTGGATGGCAATGAGTTGTTGTTGTGTTTTTTTTTTTAATCTTTACAGGAGCAGAGTGCCAGGTCTTCAATCCCCCAGAGCAGTTGATGAGTTGGAAATATTGCCTTTTTTGTTAGCAGCTGAGCACTTAACTACTGCTCCTCCAGGGCTCCTTTTCTAATAGTAAGAAAGTATATTCTTGCTAAAAAAATCATGTTCTCATCAGAATATTAAAAGAAAATGCTTCCATTAAATAAACAACATATATATTTTTTTAATGTTGAGATGACTCTTCCAGATATTATATAATCATCCAGCTTCTTTGTCACCTATAAATCATCCTTAATTTATTACATACATCATTAAAGTTCTGAAGCACATTACATTCACAAATGACTAATGTGGGCAAAAAGAAAAGATCCAATCATGAAATTGATCTTAAATCTTTAAAATAAATTATGATGAATTGGGAACCAATATTTAGAAACAAAATATATATATATATTTACTGTTCATTAATTTTTGCAGATGAAAAGTCTTAAAACCATAACATTTAAATCACCTTAAGTGTGTTTTGGAAAAAAATAAAAGAAACCAAAATTGACTTTACAGCAACTGGTTTTATGCACTAAGAGGGAGTCCTTGAATGGTACAAAAGTTTAACACCCTCAGCTGTTAACTGAAAGGTTGTAGGTTTGAGTCAACTTAGAGGTACCTCAGAAGAAAGATTTGGTGATCTACTTCTGAAAAATCAGTCACTGAAAACCCTTAATGTCAATCACAGAAGGACAAATATGGCATTAGTCTATTATTGTAAAAACTCAAAGAAAGGTTTATACATAGAAGAAAACTAACTTTCTTTACTTTCTTTGTTGGTTACCAGGACTCAGAAGGGAGGAGAGGGGAAATTTCTAGATAGGTTGGGGGAAAAAAAAAGAAAGACATATTCAAACATACACACACACACATACACACATAATGAGCTCTGGGGGCATACTGGGAGCTCTGGTGGTGTAGTGCCTAAGGCATTTGACTGCTAAGCAGAAGGCTGGTGGTTCAAACCCACCAGCCATTCTTCAGAAGGAAGATTGAGCAATCTACTTCTGTAGTGATACCACCTCAGAAACCCAAGGAAGGGTCACTATGAGTCAGATCTGACTTGATGACAGTGAATTTGGCCTTTTTGGTTTATATATAAATATATATATATATATATATAGGAGCTCTGGTAGCATAGTGCCTAAGGCACTTGACTGCTAACCAGAAGGCTGTCAGTTCAAACTTACCAGCCACACCTCGGAAGGAAGGTTGGGCAATCTACTTCTGTAGTGATACTGCCTCAGCAACCCAAGGAGAGGTCGCAATGAGTTGGGCCAACTTGACGGCACATAACAACAACAAATATGTACATACATACATGCACACACACACACACACACACATCAAAGATTATTAGTGCTTACCAAGGGTACAAGAGAGGGGGAAAGGGCAAAGTTTTCGCTTTTATTTGTGAGACATTGAGTTTATACTAATAGGTGGTAGAATCTTTTGGAAAAAGATAGCAATAATGGTGGCAAAATATGAAAAATGTCATCAGTGTCCCTGAGCTGTAAATGTGGAAGTTGTTAGGTTGGCAAATGTCTTGCTGTGTATGTTTTCATCACAATCAAAGTAAAATAAATAAATAAATAAATAAACCTATGAAGCATAGTGCTACTCTGAACCACATGAGGTTTCCCAGAATCAAAATCTACTCCATGGCAAGTGGTAGTGGTGTCTGGACTAAGAAAACAAAACTAACATTTTCAACATTCTGGGTGCTGATTCAGACTTACCAATAAGAAAATACCCTTAAGTGTTAAGCATTTCCTAAGCAATAGACAATCACTGGAAATAAAATTAATGTATTATGGGAATTATCTAAAAATAATTTTATATGAGCACAAGAAATTAACTAATTTTGAAAATTATTTAAATAATTAAATATCAAGAAGTACAATACACACAAAGAATACATACAAGCATTCATTATCTGAAAAAAAAAGGAAATAATTTCCATGAAGGTACATCTCAACATTCTTAGATTTCTCAAGAAAGTGATAACGTCTTACATTTTCATTTTAAGGAATTCCATACTCTGGGAGAAATATAAATCTTTTCCAATAAAGTTGTCAAGTCCCAGGTAAATATATTTAAAAGTATTTTATCAACTAGCTACTCTTTCTTTAAAACAAAATTTTATTTAAAATTTTAAACAGGGTTTAACTGATTAAGAGAATTTGACATTACAATCATAAATTTCAAATAGAAAATAACACATTCCATTTTGGGAAGGTAAAGAGTACATCTTTTTCAGTCTTTTCCAGAAATAAAATGAGTGTATTTAAAGACAATTTTTATACTTAAATATTTTACATAAATCTTAACAATTGGCTATTAGTTAAGATTTTGACTAGACACATTCTTTCACATTCCTGGTATAAAATTAACCCTAAGAGTTTCATCATCTCTAATGCTGGCCAGACCTTCTAGTAGACAGAAATGTTACCCAATCCAATGACTCAGGCAAAGTTTAAAAATACACAGTTTCCCATGTTTCACAGTCAAGCCAAAAAAGGAGTCCTATTGTCTCCCAGTACACCCACTCTTCACTTACCAACATAGTTAGGTTCCAAAGACGGGTGTTATGCAAAAATCAGCATTGTGTGAAATGGAGGATGACCACATCACTACATAACTGCCAAATTACGTCACTGCATAACTGCCAAACCACTGAGAATCATCGTCCAGCCAAGTTGCCACAAATCTCAACTATGATAATAAACAGCGATACTCCTGCTTCAGACCTCAGTGTTCATTACTGTCAGATGTATGTCACTAACATGCAAAATATTCAGATAGTAGATATTTTACTAATGTTACAAGTGCAAAATTTTGGATAATGAAATAGTCAATAAGTGAGAAGCAGGTGTAATATTGGCAATTATAAAAATAAGTAAATATATATATCATTTTAATTTTTTTAAAGGTGTGATCCATTACATTCTTTAAGATTACTGATACTTCCTGGATTACAGACAAGTTCCACTGCTAAATCTGTCTTTAAGTCAAATTTATACATACGTCGGAACAGTTAGGTACAAAGTTCATATCTAATGTCAATTAGCCAAATGTTTATCTTAGTATATACTACAAAGTGCACCTTTCTATGCATAAAAAAAAATAAATAGTTCCAGTTACACTAAAATATCTTAAACATAATTATTAAAAAACCAAACTCACTGCCATCGAGTCAATTCTGACTCATAGTGACACTATAAGACAGAGTAGAACTGCCCCATAAGGTTTCCAAAGCTACAATCTTTATGGAAGCAGAGTGCCACATCTTTCTCTTGCAGAGTGATTGGTGGGTTCAAACCACAGACCTTTTGATGAGCAGCGGAGCATTTAACCAATGCCCCACCAGGGCTCTTTAACACAATAATACAGTAATAATAATAATAATAGTAATAATGTTTTGATGTGCTTCACAAAGTAGCACCTGTTTGTTATTATAAGCCATTGTCTATACCTATTATATTTCAGTATAATAGGCTTTACAGGATTTGGTTATTAATTATCAGTTGTACACATGTTGGACATAGGTAACCCTGGGAATGCCTGTACAAATAAACATGAGTTTCCTCTCACCCTGTTATTCAAGTCTCATGACTGTGATGACACTTGAGTAGTAAAAGGAGAAGAAAGTGCTGCCATGCACCACTCACAAGCTTTTATCAACCAATTCAGGAGCTCAACTTGCTCACCATTTGTGAACAATTCTTGACAAAAAAAATTAACCGGAATCTAATACATATATATCCTAAATCTTACTACAAGTTTATGAGAAATAATGGAAACAAGAACATGATAAGTGATAAGAAAGAAATGCAATCAATAAAATCATGAACACATGAAATTCTACAGGAAAAAAGACCTATAAAATCAATCGTTGTTTGTTGTTATGTGCCGTCAAGTTGGACCCGACTCATAGCGTGACCCCTTCTTGGGTTTCCAAGGTGTATCACTACGGAAGTAGATTGCCCAACCTTCCTTCCGAAGAGTGGCTGGTGGATTTGAACCACTAGCCTTCTGGTTAGCAGTCAAGTGCCTTAGGTACTACGCTACCAGAGCTCACATAATCAGTAGTAAGCGATAAAAAAAGGAAAGAGAAATTATCATAATTGTTAACTGAATTAAGAGATAATTCAACCAAATATAAATTACGGACTTTAGTTGGGTTCTGATTTGAAAAACTAACTGCAAAATGACATTTACAAGAAAATTAGGGAAATGTGAAGAGTGATTGGATATATGTTAATATTAATTATTACTATTATAGCATGATAACAGAATTTATGTATTTTTATAAAAGAGTCCTTACAATTTAGAAACGTGAAGTAT